ATTTTGTATCTGACTTGGATTAGTCTTTCAGTGCTGGCATCTCTCCTGTAAGTACTTCATGTGACTTATATTCAGGATTGTGCCAGCACTGCACATCTAATTAGTCAACAGTGCAGCCTGGGGTGTTCTGCAGTTTTGACAGGCAAGATTCTCATTGGGCCAATGTCATGTCTCCACAATGCAGCTATACTCCAAATTATGTTTTATAAATATAAAATAAAAATGGTACAGCTTTTGGAATCGCTGCAATCAAAGCAATTTGGAGCAGACTAAACGTAACAGAACCAGAAACATATAATAAGAGTTACAAGAAAACATTTTAAACAACAGGAATTAATTTACACCTGATTATCCTCCACAGACTTGTGGAACAATTCCAATACATTAAATTGCCTTTTTCTAACTTTAGATACAATTCAACACAAATTATACTTATTGAAGGGATTCCATTTGCCATAGTTTATCTTTTAAAAGAAATTCTTTTGGTTTATCTCATTTATATGTTTTCTCGATTACTGTTTTCCTTTTTCATTTAGCTGCATTGTTGGCAATAGAGTCAATGTAGGATAGACAATTAGACATAACAGAACCCAAATGCTTAACTGAAAACAGGCTTGATCTTGTGGTGTATAACTGAAGTTAGCTTGCAAGTAAAACATGTAACAAAGAAGATTAATGGGATGCTGTCCTTCATTAGGAGAGGAATTGAACCTAAAATTAAAGGTGTTATCCTCCACTTATACAGAGGATTGGTGACACCACATCTCAAAATACTGTGTATAGTTTTAGTCTCCATATTTAAGGAAGGATGTGTTGGAGGTGGTTCAATGGAGTTTTACTAGATGGATATCTGGAATGAACAGATTCTCTAATGAGGATAGGTTAGATAGGCTAGGCCTGTTTCTACTGGAGTATAAAGTATGACAAGTGACTTTTTTGAGGTGTATAAGACCCTAAATTGTTTTGATAAATGCATATGGAAAGGATAATCCCTCTTGGGAAGCTTTGACCCCTGCAATTTTCCAACAGTTATGAGGTTCTTATAAGCTGTGTAAATGAAAGTGGAAAGGAGTGAACTGACCGTGGTACCATGGAACAGGGAGCCATTCAAGTGAGGGTGGAGGAAGAAGGGACATAGCAGTAGTAGGAGCAGTATAATTAGGGCGATAGATACTGTTCTCTGCAGTGGTTAGCATGTGTCATGAAGGCTGTATTGCCTGCCTCAGAGCTGGAGGGAAACCTGGGGGGGAGGGGAGGGATCCAGTTGTCAGTGTAAACTTTGGTGCCAATGACATTGATAAGACTAGAAAGGAGACACTGACTTTTAACAGTTTTGGACCATTTTGAACTGAATTTGAACAGCTAGGATCTAAAGTAAAACCCAGTATCTCCAAGGTAGTAATCTTAGGATTACCACTTGAACCATGAATAACGTGCCACAGGTTAATAAAGTCAATAAATTAAATTGGGGGCTTAAAGATTAGTGTGGGTGGAATGAGTTGTAGTTCCTGGGGCACTGGCATCAGTACTGGGGTTAAAGGGAGATGTTCTGGTAGGATGAGCTTCATATGAATCATGCTAGGACCAGTGTCTTGGCAAATTGAAAATAATTGACCCTTGAGAATAAGCTTGAAACTGAAGGTGGGGTAGGGTTCTGAAGAAGGGACATGTAGGTTTACAAAGCAAAAGGATATGGCAGCGTTGCAAGGCAATGATACAATGACACATGATAATGACAGACAGAGTGGGACAGGAAGATAAAGAGCGTACAAGTGTAGAAAAACAGTAGCAAGTCGGGTCAAAGGGGGAAAATTAGTGAAAATGCAAAATTAATGGTTCTTAAATGAATGTAGCATTTGGAAAAAATAACAAGGGCATTAACAGCACAAATAGAGGTTAATAGGTAGGATTTTCTGACCAATATGGAAACATGGTTACAAGGAGATCAAAGCTGGGAATTAAATATTCAAGGGTATGTAACTTTTTGGAAGTATAAGCAGAAAGTAAAGGACAGTGAAATACCTTTGTTACCATGAAATGGTTTAAGTGTAATAGCAAGAAGTAGTTTTAGATCCAACGATGTTAAATCCATATAGGGGAGGTAAGAAATAACAGGGCAAATAATACACTTGTGAATGTTGTCCATAGACCCCAAACAATAGCCATTCTGTAGGGAAGAGCATAAATCAAGAGATAATGAGGATATATTTTAAAAAGCAGTACATTAATTATGGGTACTTTAATCTTTATGGAGATTGGGAAAATCAATTTGGCCAATGTAGCCACATGGAAGAATTCATACAGCATATTCTGGACAGTTTCCAACAACAATATATTGTGGATCCAACCAGGGATCAGGCTCTTTTGGATCTGGTGATGTGTAATGAGGTAAGTTTAATAAATTATGTCAAAGGAAAATATCCCCTAGGAAACAATGACCACAACATGATAGAATTTAGTATTCAGATGGCGAGGGTGAAACTTGGGTCAAAAATAACTGTGCTAAACTTAAATAAGGGTACTTACAAAGGAATGAGGCAGAGTTGGCTGAAGTGGACTGGGAAAAAAGTTTAGTTCAATAGATGGCTGATGGACAATGGTAAATGTTTAAGAAAATAATCATGGCTCACAGCAAAGATAAGGAAGCTGGATTCTAGGAAGGGGAGAAACCAACCATGATTAACCAAGGAAATTAACAATAAAAACAAATTGAAAGATACAACAGACAATGTGACAAGAGGTTAGTGGTAAACCAAATGAATTAGAAAGTTTTGGAAACCAGCGGAAGGGGACCAAAAAAAAGGGAATAAGTAAACTAGAAAGTGGTATAAAATGGTCAGTAATAGCTTCTTTAAAGATAAAAAGAAAGATAGGTCAGAGTGAATATAGGCCCCTTCGAGAATAAGGCTGGGAGAAATGGCAGAGGATGAATAAATAGCTTTGGTCATTTTTCTTGTAGAAGACATGGATAACATTCCAAAATTACTGAACAATGGAGGGCAAAAATGGAGTGGGGAGAAAATTGATTCAATAGCTATCACTGTAGAAAAAAGTGCTAGGGCAGTTAATGGGCCTTAATGCCAATTAGTCTCCTGAACCTGATGGATTGCATCCTAGGATATTAAAGTACGTAGCAACAGAGATAATGGATGCGCTTCTGAAACAGTCCCAGAGGACTAGAAATCTACCAATGTATCACCTTTCTTTAGAAAGTGAAGGAGACAAAAAAAAACAAATAATTATGGGCCAGTTAACTTAACATCTACCATTGGGAAGATGGTAGAGTCCACCATGAAAGATGCAATAGCAGAGTATTTAGAAATGGTCTGCTTCGTGATGTTTCTGTTTGCAGCATATCTCTCATTGTAGGAAAATTAGCCACATGTGGATGGATCACAGAGGGGAGTCATTAGTAATGTGTACATGAGAGACCCCTTATCACTGAGCATCTACCCTCTGCTCACATGGTGACTCTAAGACTGTTGAGAGTTTGGAGTGGTGCGGGATGACAGTGTCTTGGCTGCTGCCATAATGATAGACATTTCCCAGCTTGACGTTTGAGCCTTAATCGTATAGTAACTACACATTCAGTGAATGATAGCTCCCTCAGTTTCAGTGCCCCTCCCCAGTGAGTTGTGGTATCTGCATGGCCACATGTTTGCAGTCGATACCACATTGCAGTATGGGAAATCCCACCATCATTTTTGTCTCTGCTGAGAGCGAGCAAAGAAATTTCCTCTCCTGACAGAAAGCTTATGTGACCTTCCAGACATTGCCAAAATGTTGTTGTTTAGCTATGTCATCTGCTCCAGTCTGGAAAGATTCACTAGCATAGAAAATGAAGGTCACAGTGTCCTTGATATCATGGGTTCTTTCACCTTCATTCTGCTCTGAGACTGTATGTTTGGTTTGAGGGCTTGTCACAATTCTGTTACCATTCCTTGGTGAATTGCAGCAACCAAACACACTGTTATTGGCTGAGGTGTAGTTAGGAGGAAATACTTTATCAGGGCTCTAAGTAGATACAGCTCCTACTGAGAGTGTCCTTCGCCTCTGTTTGAGAACATCCTCTCCCCTCTGCTGCTCCTGCTCCATGTTATTGTGATCCTGCAGCTCAGGGTGAAATTCAACTAGAAACCTTGTGACTTGGAGCAAGTGGTGAACTCAGAAGCCTTTCTAATTTAAATCACATTTTCCAAAGCATGATTCTCTTCTGACTGAAAGATCTCGTGAGGTTGTAGACATGCTCGCCGAGCCGGTGGGTTTGGTTGCAAACATTTCGTCACCCTGCTTGGTAACATCGTCAGTGCGCCTCCCGTGAAGCGTCGGTGTTCTGTCCCGTTTGTTATTTATATGCCTCATATACACAGTCGCCTCACCAGAGGCAACCTGATGATGTTACCTAACAGGGTGACGAAATGTTTGCAACCAAACCCACTGGCTCGGTGAGCCTATCTACATCATCATCCACAACCCGAGCTACAAATCTTCTCAAAAACTTGAAAGAATTTGAATTAACTTCTCCAACAAAACACTAATTTCACACATTTTACCAGTAATAGTATATAGTCAAATACACCTCAGATGCAATTCAACTGAAAATGTCATTGAATAGCACAGTTGGGGAGTCCCTCATGCTACTGAACAATGACAATGATATTGGATAAAGGTTTTATTTCCACCTAAAAAAGAGCTCTCTGCATTTTACACATGAAAATTAAAGTCACGTTAGCAGAGCCTCATTGAGGATCCTTCTAAAATAATGAAAGCTATGATAGTAACAGATTTTATGTATTATAATAAAACCTTACTTATTTTGGACTGGTGTTTACTACTGGGAATAAATAGATAGAAGAAAAGGAAATTAATTTCTTTATACTTCGCTTACTGTTTGTTGTTCTTGGAATTCAGCACAAAATGTTTGATGACAGCTTGTAAGTTTTGAATTTGAGTTATTTAAACTTTACCAGTGTAACTTTCATCATTGTGATTTATCCTAGGGATCAAGGGCAAACTAGGACGTGGAGGAGATGTGGGCAGTAAAGGAGATAAAGGACCAATGGGTAAACCAGGATTCAGAGGAGCGAATGGCCTAAAAGGAAAAACAGGACCTCAAGGAAAGTTGGGACCTAAAGGAGACAAAGGACAAAAGGGAGACCCTGGACCATCAGGTGTTTGTAAATGTGGGAGTTTAGTACTCAAATCCGCCTTTTCTGTCGGTATAACGACGAGTTACCCAACAGAAAAAACACCAATTATATTTAATAAAGTCCTTTTTAATGAGGGCGGTCATTACATCACTTCCTCTGGAAAGTTTATATGCGCCATTCCAGGGATTTATTATTTCTCTTATGACATTACTCTGGCAAATAAACATGTTGCGGTTGCACTGGTGCACAATGGTGAGTATCGCATCAAAACCTTTGATGCCAACACAGGAAACCATGATGTATCTTCAGGATCAACAGTCATGTACCTGAAACCAGAAGACGAAGTGTGGCTGGAGATCTTTGATTATGAACAAAATGGTCTGTTTTCTGATCCAAACTGGACCGACAGTTTATTTTCTGGGTTTTTACTTTATCCTGATGCTGATTACCTGGATGCGTTGGCGGAAGATGAATTGTAATACAATTATCTCCAAATATTTCTGTTTGATTTCAAAGTCTTTTATAAAGATGCATTACAGTCTTTTGTGATAATGAGGACTTAGACATTATGTGAAACTGTTCTTAGTATCATTTCAGGATCTGATCATCAGATAATGCTTGCTTCCGGACTTGTTTTAATCTTGTTTAATTTACTGATTTAATTAGGAGTGATATATCTGAGAGCAACATCGGTGCTGGCATATCATATATTCACACAGAGGTATTGGATGCCATGAGTTTGGTTCTAGTTTTGAACAGCTCAGACCTTTTCAGAGGCAATGGGAACACTCCTGATGCAATGGTTCCAATTCACAAATCTACTCTTTTATCATTTTTGGAAACAACATTTTACGAACTTTGATTTTGATTGAAGGAAGAGTTTGATTTTTATTTCAAGACGGACAGCTTCTCTGTGATAATTCATGTGGAGAAACTGCAAATTTATTCCATCAATGTGAACTTTTGGTGGCATCTAATTTAGCAAACCCGTTGACAACAGAAACTGCTAATATTTCAGTTTTAAGATATAAAATTAGTTCATCAACTTATCTTCTCTCAAAAGATTCATATGATTAATTCTCTTCATTATTTGTTATTTTGTATATGAATTGCATATTTTATGGAACTCCTAAGTAATTTTACTTTTTGTTCATCTATAACTAAATGTCATATTTAACTGAGTTTTATAAAAACAATATCATCAAAAATTTGGCGAGTGGCTTTTTATCTTATGTGATTGCTGTATTTGATGGACTTTAAGATGCACTGAACCACATGATGCACCAGGTATTTAGAAAGAAAAGTAAAATTCAGCATGTATCAGTTTTTAATCTTAACAAAAATGATAATGCAGTATGAAATTTAACTATTGGTGTTAACATTTAATCTAATTGGTGTGGGAGGGAGGGAGGAGGTAGGTTCTGGTGAAGGGAAATTTATAAATCCAGAAAGAAAACTCAAGACAACAAAGCAGTTTGTATCAAGACAATAAGGAAAGGACAGAGAATTTAACAGTGGTACATCAGTGTGACAATACTATGGCTTTAAGAGGTGTATTGTGTTCTTCTTTTAGGAAGAAAAATTGAGACAGAGGTCTGAGCAGTCTGCTCAAAGACTATAAAGTTAACAGCCGGTGAGGCCTTGCTGTTTTTAAAGTTGGAACAATAGAAGCAGCTTGAATGGGTGGGGTCAAGCTCTTACAGAACAAAGGTTTTTAACTTTAGCTTTCTGCAGTTGCTAGGGTCTTGAAGTTGGATGTGGAAGCTCTTTGTCCTCTCTGTGTTACAGCTAACAGCTGGGGTTCTGTTCCTGCTGCTAGAATTGCATATGAGATAATCTTTTTTACTGAATTTGCCTTTGCCAAGGGTGTGTTTATGGGATATTACTATATTGGAACAGTTAATTAATAGTAGTTAACATATCTATTAATTTGTCAAGCATTTTGATAAAGTTACAGTTAAGCCAATTCTTAATTTTTATTTTGTTTGTATTTTAACTGTAGTGTAAAAATAAAGTGTGTTTTGCTTAATGTCAAGTAGTTTGACCAATCGCATTGCATCTGGAATGCACAGCCTTACACTTGCCTTTTAAATGAGAAAAAGTTAGGATTAGGATATCTTCTTAATATATTTTGAGGGGGTTTGGCCTGGTCCATACATCATTAAATAAGGTCGATACAAATAATATTGGTGAGACAATGAAAATAAAATTAAAGACTTTTTGTCAGAATACACAAACCATCCTGAATAAGGTGGAAACAATGATATAATTAGAGATAAATGGTTTGGACCTAATCATTGTTACAGAAACATTAGGCTAGATTTTATGCCCAGAAGCTGGGTTGGCAAGCCCCCATGCAAATGTGAAATATGACATGACAACATTGGGTTGGCGATATATATGCCAGTCTAAGAATGTGGACAGTGAATAGGCACTAACATTGAAAACTTGTTGTCATTTAGAACTCGACAAGCTATTGAGCAACCTGTTATCAGTTCATACAGTTTTTCATTGAGCATTATATTTATGCTTTTGATGGGGAGGAACAAACTTTGGGAGTGTTTAATAACAAGTGTGAGGAGGGGGCATAATGGTAGAAGGAAAGTCCTGTCACCTGGACCATGGCTCGTTGCAGCAGCATTCTGCTGTTGAAGGTGACAGCATCTAAATCATTTTGGACTTAATTTGTTGCCTTTTTTTGAGTCTGTCAAAACCTATAAAGAATGATGCAAAGATCACGGGTCCTTCTCAATTGTGGTTTGGGAGATTACTTTGTAAAATGCTTTTGTGACTGTTTCCAGGAACAATACTTCGTAGAACCAGTTGTGAATAAAGCTATTTTATAAATTGTTATGCAATGTGGCAGGGATTATTTGTGATTTCATAGTAAAAGATCCGCTGGGAAATAGTAGGTAGTATGGAATGCGCTGCCTGGAAAATGGAGTACACTGTCTAGAAATGCAATTGAGGCAGTTTCAATTGGGACATCTAAGATGACACTGGATGATTTTTTGGATAGAAATGTGTGTGGAGATATGATGAAAAGGCAGGGGATTGACATTAAGTAATAGAACTAATGCAGGCACAATAGGCCAAATGGCTTCCTTCTGCACCATAACAAGTCTGTGATTCTGTGAGTGTTCATTATATTTATCCTATATATATAGGATAAGCAATACACTTCACTCAGAAAATCAAGGAAAGCAAAATATATAGGTATTAGAGGCAAGCTGGCAGAGTTGTTTGAGTAAATACAGCCAAAGGTATGGCAGTCATTATACAGCAGAAAATGTTCAGAAAAACAATTCAAAAAGTTCAACAAAAATGCATTTTATTAAAAGACAAAACATCAATAATAAAGATCCATCTGTGGCTTACTAAAGAAGTTGAAGATGGTATTAATTTAAAAGAGGTTTGCAATCATGCAAAGAATAGTAGAAAGACTGGAGATTGGGAATGCTTAGGAAACTGCAAAGGGTCACCAAAAGTTTGATTATAAAGGATAAAGGTACAATAACTAAATTAGCCAGGAATATAAAAACAGAATTTAAGAGCATTCACAAGTATATAGAAAGGAAGGTAGGTAAAATAAACATTGAATAAAAACCAAAAGAACAAGGGATGCTATAAATCAGTAACAAAAACAGAAGTTGCTGGAAAAGTTCAGCTGGTCTGGCAGCATCTGTGAAGAAAAAATCAGAATTAACGCTTCAGATCCGGTGAACTAGGTTCAAATTACAAATTAGATTACAAATCCCCAGGACCTGACGGTCTATTTAATAGGATTTTAATCAAGATAGCTGCAGATGTAGTGAAGGTGCTGTTTGTGATTTTCCAAAATTCCATAGATGCTAGAGCTGTCCCATGGATTGGAAATTTGCAGATATATCACTGCTATTTAAGAAAAGAGAAGGATGGAAAACAGAGAACTAAAGACCATTTGGCCTGACATCAGTCCATAAGAAAGTGTTGGGATCGATCAATAATAATGTGCTTAGAAAACCATTGTATTTTTTTTCTTTATTCATTCATGGGATGAGTGTGTCACTGACTAGGCAGCATTTATTGCCCATCCCTAATTGCCCAGAGGGCAGTTAAGAGTCAACCATATTGCTGTGGGTCTGGAGTCACATGTAGGCCAGACCAGGTAAGGATGGCAGTTTCCTTCCCTAAAGGACATTAGTGAACCAGGTGGGTTTTTCCTGACAATTGACAATGGATTCACACTCATCATTAAATTCTTAATTCCAGATATTTATTGAATTCAAATTCCATCATCTGCTGAGGCAGGATTTGAATCTGGGTCCCCAGAACATTATCTGAGTCGCTGGATTAACAGTCCAGCAATAATACCACTCAGCCATCGCCTCCCCTAACCCCTATGATCCCCTATGATCAGATTAATTAAACACGAGAGGGAAATTGAGTTTAACTGGTTTATTATAATTTTTTTTTTGAAAACGTAACAAGTGTGGAAGATATAGGGGAACATGCAGTGAAGGCTCAAGGCTTTGGAGGCAATATATTAACATAGATTGAGCATTGATTAATGGAGAATCTAAAAAGAATAGAGATAAACATTTTCAAGCTTGCAGACTGTTACTCAAGGAGTGCTACAAGAATAAGTATACTGGGCCTCATCTTAATGACATGGATGAAGAGACCAAAATTAAAGTATCTAAGTTTGTTGATGATTCAAAACTAAGTGGAAATGCAAGCTGAGGGGGACAAAAAGAGCCTGAAAGAGATGTAGACAGTTAATTGACTCTGTAACAAGGTGGCAAATGGAGTATATCATGGAAAAGTATGTGGTTTGTCATGTTGGTAGTAAGGATCGAGAAGTAGAATTTTTTTTTTAAAGATGTGAAACTTCTAAAAGTTGATTTCAACTCTAACAATGGACATAGAAAGGTGGCATGCAGGTGCAGTAAACAATTAGCCAGCCAAGTGACTTTTATTGCAAGTGGATTGGAGTATAAGAATAAATGATGTGCCCTTGCCTAGATTTCTATGTAGTGTTGGTCTTCATATTTAAGGAAGGAGATACTTTCAAAGCTGATGGTGCAGCAGTTAACTAGACGGGTCCCTAGTTTGAGAGTAAAATGGGGCTATATTCTCTAGAGTTTTGAAGAATGAAAGGTAATCTCGCTAAAATGTATGTGATTCTGAAGGCTTGTTAGTGTAGTTACTGAGAGGTTGGCTGGAAAATCTAGAATGTGGGGAGATAAGGAATCAATCAATAAGGATTGAGATTAGGAAAGATTTCTTCACTAAAATGAATCTTTGGAAGTCTCTACCTCAAAGGGCTGTGAATGCTCCATCCTTGATTCCATATTTCTTGTATAATTTTACAATTACTGCTTGCTTCATAAATTGTTCGCCCAAAAATTTTTCATCCATTCATAAACCTACAAAATAGTAGGTAACTTCATCAATCCATTTTACCTTAATCACAAACCTGCAAAATGAAGATATCTTTGCTTCATATTTGATGAGCATCTGTGCTTTCTTGATGCTATTACACAAGCTGAGCTCACACCTTTTCATAAATCTGTAGTACTGTAATGTTATCTCACATAAAGTGTCCTGTTGCTTGCTGCTGCTACTCTTCGCATACAAACATGACAAAAGACAAAGATCCAATGTTTCATCGCTTCTTCTAGCCGTGGTCATTTTGCAGCATGGCCTTGAAAATAGCTAGCTCTTTTTCTGTTCTCAGTAGATCTTTTGCATCTTCTATTCTTATCTTATTTCTTTGGTGGAGGGAGGGCCAAATTGGTTTTCAGCCATTCTATTCCCATGCTGTTACCATTTATAGTTTGAACCCTAAATTAGAAGACATGATAATTTATGTTGTATTCACTGGGATTTTGGAAATATACTCTGAAATATGTGCTACCGATCAGATGTAATGGGTTGACATTCAGACCATAAGGCTGTGATTTTCTATTTTGGAGTTAAAGTATGGAAGAAAGTGAGGTAAAAGGCTATTACTTCTACGTGGCCCAGGGTGAGTTATTATCCTTGACGATGTGCTTCACACCACATTATATTATACAAGTGAGATGCAGCATCGAAGTGCAAGTGAGATGTGCCATGATGATGTGCTGAGGCTGGTACACGTCTGATGCCAATGTCTGTGAATTGGAGTTGTGTATGGATGCTGCCCACAGAGTGTGTGCTGAGATGCTGATTGATGTCCAGGCTGGAGGTATGGAGGAGCAAGTCACGAGCTGGAGTTGCAAAGTAACCACTAAACTTTCATGTCAGAAACTGTTACCACCTAGTTTCTATCTGAAGTGTGGGAAATGGGAAACTGCATATCAATGAGGCAAGAGTAACTGGCAATGATACACTAATGCATTCACAT